TTTTTTTTTTTTTTTTTCATATCGTGGGTTCCCCCCCCTTTTTTTTTTTTTTTGCTGACGGCCTCTCATTTATTCAATTCTTAATAACTTCAATCCATCAGAAAAGTGCATTTCTGAAATAAATCAGATCATGCTGTGAAAGTAGTTTGTTGCTGAAATTTCCTACTTTCCAGAATGAAGTACCTGGGTCTCATGATGCATTTCAAGAAGCCATAAAGACGGGACGATGCTAATCAGATATAAAAATATGGCTGGTGAAAACCTGTGAAAGAGGGAAGAAAAAATACAGTTCAGCTTAAAAAAAAATAAAATAAAAAAAGAAAAAACAAATACACATACCCTGGCCACACTGAGCCAAACCATTTTTTCTGAAGTGTTTATTTCAGTGGGAAGAAAAGCTTTATGTGATTTCTGCCATATGATTATAGAGAAACAAAGCAACTGTAAAAGGCACTAGCAGCTGTCATTCTCACTGAATTTCTAATCCAATTAATAGATGTTAATTTTAATATGGTTTAATGGGACACTGCCAATTAGTTACAGGCACAACACTGGAAATTTTGTACATTTTATGAAAAGCAAACACAGCAGTAGTAAATCTTGAATTTTTTCAACATTGCAATTTCAGGAAGACTGGCTATATTTTTCAACTTTAACCTGGAATTCTGAGCTGCCAAATAATAACACCCTGCCAGATCACAAAAATCAGAAGACAAGGACGAGGAATGAGAACAATCCACCTGTTTAGTGCACGTTTGCTAAACCTGTAAAGTAAAGATATGGACAACCACAGAAGGCTTAGGCATTTTTTTAAAAGGCTATCTATAGATTCACCATTTTCTGGCTCGAAATTCAGAGGGGAATCTGAAGAGTAGGGTTTTGTATTCAGACACACCCAGGGTCAAATGCGTTTTGCCACTGATTTCATTTTGTTTCGCAACTCACAAAATGGGGACAGTCACCGTATCAGTCAACTCAGGCTGCCATTCAAAATACCATACACTCATGGCTTAAACAACAGAAGTGTATTTTCTCATAGTTCGGGTGCCAGCATGCTAGGGTTCTAGTGAGGGCACAGTTCCTGGCGTGTAAACAGTGCTCTCTTCACGTGTCTGCACCTGACCCTTTCTCAGTGCGTGTGTAGACGGATCTCTCTCTTTTCCTCTTCTTACAAGGTCACCAGTTTTATTGGATTAGAACCCCACCTTGAGGATCTCATTTAACCTTAATTACCAAATTAACCTCCACATACTGTCACATTTGGGGCTACACCTTCAATATATGAATCTGGTGGGAGACACAATTCAACCCATAGAAGTCACATTTATCTCACAGGGCTTTTTTTTTTTTTCCTTTTTGTCTTTTTTCGTGTCCGGCAACGGGATCGCAACCCTCGGTGTTGCTCCCGCACCTCGCTCAGCCAGTGAGCGGGAACCGGTCTGTATGTGGGATCCGAACCCTCGGCAGGAGCGCCACCGCGCTCCCAAGCGGTGCACTGTAGCAGTGCGCCACGGGGCCAGCCCCTCACAGGGCTTTTTCTTACATTTTTTGTAAAGCAGGGCCTGACAGAGGTGAGCATTCAATAATAGGTAGATATTATTAGTATTATTATGGGACATTGTGCAATAAAAATGTGTCCTTAAAAATTTTAAATAAGATAATAATAAGACACTCTCCAAATTTATTTCTTTAAATTGTATTTTATTTTAGATCATACTTTTGCTTTATAGAACCACTCAAAGTCAAAACTCTAAGTCAATATAATTTTATTAAAATGCTTTTAGTACACACGTGATGGTTTAAAATGACCTAAAAAATAGAAGTGTTAATTGCTCAACAAATAGAATTATTTGAAAGAAAATGTTACCCAAATTTATTATTATAATCCAGGAGAGAAATGTAAATAAATGGAAACGAAAAAAGAAAATTTAAAATGGATTTTTAAAAGGCTATTTACCCTTTCATTAATATCTTCTCTCAACTTTGGGGGAGAGGAAGAGATAAAGGGCAAGAAAAAGAGAGGTCTTTTAAAAATCAATATTTCATATAGATACTCCCCCACCTTTGATTTCCTGAAAAAAACAACTTTGAAACAAAAGGTTATGGGTCATGATATTATTAAAATCTGACTTGGAAGATGGCTGGGCTACAGAGAGATATCAAAAGCTCATGCTGAGCATGCTCTTACAAAAGAAGGAACATTTTACTCTTTAACCTTACATATCAAAGGAAACATCAGGAGAGAATGTTTCCTTTGTAAAATTGGAAAAGGAAGTGAATTTTAGTGTGAGGGACAGTTGGAATACGTAAAATTTTGTTTGTACACAGCAATTGTTGGCTGGACTGCAATTCTGTTAACTCTCTTGGGATTAATTTTGAGATTAACTCCCCTAACAATACTGTTACAATAATCATCTAGGGAAATCATAGAGTGAACATATAACATAAAATAGCTCTTGAAGGAAGTTAAAAATAAAAGACAGAATAACTGTTAACATCCTCTATGGATGAGATTTATTTCTATGATTGGAAAAAATACTATACTGTTTCAATGTATTTCCTCTAGTTACAAAACTGGTTATGTAAACAAACAAACAAACTTCAAGATACAGGATGATTTTCTGTACTGCTTACTACAGAAAATCTAAACTTCATAATCTGATATTCAAAGTCTTATCTTATCTCTACTTCCCCTTCCTCTTTCCTTACCTAGTCCTACCAAGCTGAACAACTCAGTGGTCCCAAACTGCTGTATATTTAAAACATGAAAATAAAAAAAATATTTTGGAAAGTTCCCCTCACTTCATTTTCTCTTCATTAGACTTATTTAACCTGAGGAAGAAAGGGGGCAGGAAGAGGAATCAAATCAAGGGACCAAAAATTTATAGTCAACTCAGTCCATAGCCTTGTTTAATTAACTATGGTGTCTGCAAAGAACAAAGTTCTCTGTACTCTCCCAGTTTCGTTAATCTGAGAACAGAGGGGCTGACATGGCTTTAGAGCAAATGTATCCCCAAATTATGAAAGTTTGTTTTGGAATACCCTTCTCTTACATGTCTATCCATCAACATACTACCTGTATTTTAAGGGCACAGCAAAAATTAATCTAAACCTATATTTTTCCTGTGACCCAACACATGCTGTACTGTTTTGCAGTTATGTATACTTAAGACTCAGCTTTCTGAATAGAAGTTTCTCGAAGGCAGATCCTGGGTCGTATATATCTTTATATCCTTTCTCTCCTCCCACTCCTTCATCATCTCCTTTCTCCAGTGATATCACAGTATCTTGCTAAGTCTTCAATTAATGCTTATTAAGCAAATGCTTAAATGTTTGAATGCCTAAATTTATGAATAAAGGAAGAACTCAGAAAATGAAGTGAATGGACACTGCTGGAGTCTACAAGGACCTTCCTTTTATTTCAGAGTGCTCCCTATCAAGTATGCTCTTCATTTGTGACCCTGGAAGAATTATTACACTTCCATATGATTCAGTAGAAATTCTACAAACTTACAAGAACCGAATTTGAATCCTGCCTCTTCCATTCATCTTTCTTTGGAAATTCACTACCTGCCTTGAGACTCAATGTCTTCATCTATAAAATGGGGAAAATAATATTGACCTCATAGGGTGGTTATGAGGATTAAATGAGATAATGTGTGCCATACAACTGACATTTATTGAGATGCTCAATAAATGTAGTTGCTGCCTTCCCTGGGCTCAGCTCTGCAAATTTATTCCTGGCTACATATTTGTACTTACGCTTAAAGAGGACTCGGAGGATACCAGTTTAGAAAACGGTTTCTTCAAATAACTTGTATGTAATCAATTCTATTTTCAAACCATGATTCTCACATCTAAACCTATTTAAGACTCCTTGAATCAAGGGACATTGTTTGTACTGCTGAGGACATCATTACGCCTAACTTCACATTCAATGTTAAGGCAATTACTGTCATACAGTCACTGTCCACGTGGGCCATTTTCCCATCACAACCTACGAGATGCTGCACAATCAGTGGCCTGCCTACCTCTGGGGCTCTACTGCTTGTAATTGGTCCTCACTATGCTTCTATAACAGTGTTCTCCTTCCAGTTCTGGAAAAAAGCTAAGTACCTTCTTAACTCAGACCTTGTATTTATCTCCCTAGAAATACCTCTCTCCCCCACTTTTCATCTGACTGCCTCCTTCTCATAGTTCATGTCAGCTATATACAACTCCTCCAGAAAAACTTTACTTGCTCCTCAAGTCTAAATTAGCTCTCCCTGTTCACTTTCATTCCATACATTTTGAAAATTTATAATTATATGTGCACATGTATGTGTGTGTATATTTGATATCACTTAATTGTTGTCTCCAAGCAATTCTAAATAATACAAACACAAAAACTGTGCCTGTCCACTCATATTTATACCCTTTACCCCTTCCAGAGTGTCTAGCATATGGTGGGCTTCCCACAAATATTTAGTGATTCGATAAGGCCCTAGGTGATTAACAATTTCTACTTTATTGATGCTCTTTTACTAATTTGACTAGAAATCTCTTTTTGAAATATCATTGTAAGTTGATTTTTATTGGAAGAGAGAATAACAGGAGGTTAATTTAATGTTGTTTTACTCCTATGGGAAATTTAATATTTTAGTGTGACATCATAGCTATTATTTTTTATTTTGAAGGTCTGTAGTATTCTTGAGGCCTGACCCCACCTTTTTCTGTGTAACTATTCAAGTTGCATGCCCTTTCTCAAGAGCTACCAAGTAATTTTACTTTAATCTTTGTCTTGATGGCATCAGGAGTAAGTAGTTGCCAAGCACATTGTATGAAGACTAATACCATAGTGGGGTGTGGCCAACTCAGAAATAACTTATATCAGGTTTCTGGACACTTGCTTATAAAAATACAATATATTAGACTAACAAAAACTCATAAATACACGATTAAATAAATAAGACACATCCAAGAGGGAAATTTTTACAAAATTGATATTTTATTATCATGGAGCTATCTGCCCAGAAACTCAGTTTTATTACAAATCCCAATTACTACCATCTTGTCAGAATAACAAAACTGCCCCATGTTAATATTTTAATGCCAAATTACTTTGCTCAGCTATTTTTTCTAAATTAAAAACCTTCCTGAAAATATTCTTTTGTTCCACAGGTTTTTTGTTTTCTGTTTTCATTTCTATGAAATTCCACAGCCCTTAGCCTAACTACCAATTCTCTCCAAAGTGCACCGAGAAAAGAGCATTATCTGAAAGGA